GATCTCCTCACGCAAGGCATTGACCTCATCACGTAACTCCCTTGACTCATCCCATGGAGGTGGACAATAGGGAGATAGAAGTCGTGGCATCTTTGCCGGTCGCCTATCATGAGGTGATGGTGGAGAAGAGGCTCGATGATGTGACGGGATAGGTGATGGCTCTCGTTGTAGAGGTGTATAGTCGGGTCGATCAGGTGATGGCTCTAGGTGAGGTGATGGCTCTCGAAGTGGAGGAAGTGAAGGCTGCTCATCATTCGTGCCATCAAGAAAACGCTGACTAGCTTGCCACCAATCAGTGGCAAGCTCAGCCTCCGTGGGTGTCAGTCTCATTAATGGAATGTTGGCCTCCTAAAAATATAAAAACTCAAACAAAGTTAAACGTCTACTATTAATAACTTGTTTATATATGATAGTATTTGTGTTAACTTACATTATTTATTGTCGCATATGGTATTAAGTCTTCCCAATCCAACAGGCGTTTCCTCTTCCAGGAAATAGCCCTGGGAATATCATTTGAAGTTTTTATTGCATATGTCTTCATGGCGGGAAAGGCCTCGAATATCCAAATCTACAAACAATATAATAACAAACATTAGTAATTGTTAAATAATTAATTATAATTTTGAAAACATTATATAGAAATTCTTACCTTAAAGGCCCAAACAAAGCCTGACAAAGTGTATTTCGACCCATCGCCCCGCAAACTTTTGCGGTCATCAAAGGCAGACGAAAACTTAGTCCAGGTAGCTTTCCATATATACGAACCCCACGGAAACAGATTCCATGCATTTAGGTCCTCTACCAATAATATTAGCTCCTGAGGAATAGGTTGTATGGCCTCTCTGCCTAAAAAGCCGGCATACAAAAGTAGTAGAAGGCATACTCGGACAACATCGACGTCATTCATCCGAGTAAAACCATCTTTCTTATTAAACAATTTCTTCATGTCGTCGACGTGTAAGTTCGGCTTCTCTATTGACTCATCAGGAAAAACCCTGGATAACCATGCTGGGCGGGTGATATGACGAGTGTACCGGCCTACATCATCGTGTCCGAATCATAGACCAGTGATTAAGCAGAACTTCTTCCGCCCAAAACAAGTATACGCCGGTGGAAAATGAAACCATATCTCTTCCTCACCACGTTGTATACTGTCGGGTAGATCGCTAGTCATGGTCTGAAGCCACAAATGGGTCAAACTAGCATCTCCACCCGGATGTTGTACTCTCAGCCATGGCCCGAAGCAGGTTTCTTCAAACAATTTTCTTTGTGTAGTGGCTAGGCTAACTTTATTCCTTAATGTCAATGAAGCCGAAAAAAATTTCTACAAAAAAACAATAAACATACCAAGTTAGATATACAAAAAACTACACTGTCAAGATATACCAAAAACAAAACAATAAACATAAATAGTAGTTTATTCTTGAAACTAAAATTTGCAACACTGTTTTTATCTTTTGGTTGAAATGAAAATCGCAACGAGATAATGAGAATCGCAACGCGGAAATGACTATCGCAACGATAGAATCGCAACGAGAGAATCGCAACGCGAAATGACTATCGCGACCAGACAATCGCAACGCGAAATGAAAATCGCAACCGCGAAATAAAAATCGCAACGCGAAATGAAAATCGCAATGCGATTTTTGTTTCGCGTTGCGTTTTTTATTTCTCGTTACGATAGTTATTTCCGCGTTGCGATTTTCATTCTCGAAACTATTCTTCTTCTGCATTACTTCAACCAAAAGACAAAACAAAGACAAATACTAACTTCACAGGCTAAACAGTTTAGCAGTATTGGCAGCAATCAAATGAATTTAATAAGAAATCTAAGTGAAATGGTTAATCTATTATTGAAATTACCAGTAAACTTATCATCAATTTCAATATGAAAAACCTAAAATAATGCAAAAATTTCAAAATAAAAATAAAAAAACTAACCCTCGGAGGTTGATTTTCCATTTCTGAATGATTGTGAGGGATTTTTAACTGTGAATGGTTGTGAGGGATTTCGCCGGCGATGGGGATGGAAATCTTCGAAGATGGGGACGGATTTCGCCGTAGAGAGTGAGAGATGGAGATGGGACTGAGTGTTGTGATTTTGGGTTTGAGGTTATGAGTTGCGATTACTGTGGACGGTTCAGTTTCCGATTTATTAAGAAAAAATTCGTGTTTGGAATTTGAAAAAAAAATACGCATTAATACGAATGGCGCTATGTAAATCGCGTTGCGAAAGTCAGAATCGCGTTGCGAAAGTCAGTATCTCGTTGCGATTTTGTATTATCGCATTGCGATAGTAAGTATCGCATTGCGATAGTCAGTATCGCATTGCGATTTTCCCAATTCGCGTTGCGATTTACTTATTTGCATTGCGAATTGGGAAAATCGCAACGACACTGTATACCATCGCAACGCGATTTCCAACTATCGCAACGCGAAATGCAACGCGAATTTGCGATAATGGAGATCGCGTTGCGAATTAGCGATCGCATTGCGATTTTGTTGGTCATTTTGGCAAATCCGGAAAAAGTTGGTTAAAATCGTATATTATATGGGATTTTTGGTCACTGATGTTATTTTCTCTATTATAAATAGGGGCTAGCTCCAAACACTTACGTAGCTCAATATGATGGAATCTTTTTCAAAACCACCCTTTTCGTGTGTTTAGGGGGTGTAAACGAGCCGAGTCGAAATCGAGTATTGTCGAGTTCGACTCGAAAACTCTGAAATGGAGCTCGATTCGACTCGACTCGAAAATTCGATAGCTTAAAATTTTTAAGCTCGACTCGAACTCAAAATTCTGAACTGAAGCTCGTGAGAAGCTTGAAAAGGCTCGAAATGGGAAAAAAATCTTAAACTCAACTCGATTGAAGCCTCAAACTCGAACATGAACCTTAAATACATGAAAATCTTACTGTATTTTTTTTTAAAATCAATACATAAATATTAATATTATTAATAATTTATTTATTTTAAATAAAATCTTAATATATTATATTTTCGAGTTGCTCACGAGCTTTTCGAGTAGCTCATTTTGGCTCGTTAAGAACTCAAGTCTAGCTCGAGCTCGAGTCGACTCGACTGGAGTCCATTCGATCCGAGTATTTATCGAGCCTTGATCGAATCGTTCTCGAATAGATCGCGATCTGTTTCGTCTCATTTACAGCCCTACGTTTAAATATCAATGAAATGAAAAAAAAACTCATTTTCCATTCCAATCATTCATGAACAACTAGTTAGGGTGTATTTGTTTCTTTATTGGGGAAAATATATTTAAATATAAGATACAGCTCGCACGATTGATCACTTAGTATAGAAAATAAAACACAATATCAAAGTATATATGTTTATTTTATACTATGACAGTCCAACCAATTCTTCATAAAATCACTTTCTAATTTTTAATTATCACCATACATAAGCCTGCCTCTTACACGGTTAATAGTAATAAAGAACATGCAGGTTGAATAAATGAAACTCAGCAAGAAGAGTTTAGCCAGCAAGCCAGGCAGTTGAATGGGTGTAAACGAGCCGAGTAGAGCTCGGGTATTGCTGAGCTCGACTCGACTCGAAAACTCGCGAGCTTAAAATTTTCAAGCTCGACTCGAACTCGAAATCCTGAACTGAAGCTCGTGAGCAGCTTGAAAGGCTCGAAATGAAAAAAAAAATTCTTAAACTTAACTCGATTGAAGCCTCAAACTCAAACTCGAATATGAACCTTAAATACATGAAATCTTACTATATTTTAAAAAAAATTAATACATAAAAATTAATATTATTATTAATTTATTTTTTTTAAATAAAATCTTAATATATTATATTTTTGAGATGCTCACGAGCATTTCGAGTCGAATATCGAATAGCTCGTTTCAGCTCGTTAAGAACTCGAGTCAAGTCCATTCGATCTGAATATTTATCGAGCATTGATCGAGTCGATCTCGAATAACTCATAATCTATCTCGTCTCATTTACAGCCTAGTTGAATGAATCAATACATACACCAATGCGCTAATTGATTCTTTCTCCGATTCCTTTGTCCTCTTGTCATCGTCATAAGGGAATCTTAAATTCTTAATTAATTCTCTAATAATGGAATTGTCTTTGTTTCTTTCTTCATTTTCTCTCTCTGTCGGAGGGAAACCAATGGAAGAAGTTAGGGTTGTAAAGGAGATGATACATATCACGAGTTATTTGAGATCGATTCAATTAAAGGTCGATAAAAACTCAACTCGAAAAATTTGTGAGCAGATCGAAAATATAATATATAAAATTTTATTTTTTAAATAAATTAATAATAATATTAACATTTATGTGTTATTTTTTTAAATGCAGTATAATGTTTTCATGTATTTAAAGTTTAAGTTCGAGTTTGAGATTCATTTCGAGTTTTTATGAGCTTCAATTCATGATTTCGAGTTCTAGTCGAACTCGAAAATTTTAGGCTCGTGAGGTTTTGAGTTGAGTCGAGTTAGGCTCAGTAATACTCGAACTCGACTCGACTCGTTTACAGCCCTAGTAGAAAAAGCAAGTCACATTTAATGTTGTAAACGAGATGACTTGAGCTTTACTTTGTTTTAAAAAGTTTAAAGTTGAGTTTAATTTGATTCGAAAATATATGTCTTAAAATTATTCGATTGAAACTCAAACTCGAACTTAAATATTAAGTGCATAAAAATATTATATTATATATATAGTACACCACTCGACCAATATTTATTTTCTTCTCTAAGAAGATGACACGCATTCAACTGCATGTGCTGGGTATATGCATATTTGATTTTTCCACATTCTTCCCTCAATTGAAGGCCAAACGACGACTCCAAATGTAGAATATTTAATTTCTGACACAGCTCATTCATACTACCCCGTTTTCAACGCATCAAATTTGGTGCTGTGTTCCTTTCTTTTCATCTTCCCTTTTATTTCTCTTTCTTTGTTTTTCTCTAACGGCAAGATTTAGAATATTAATTTCTCTCCTCTATATGTGAGCTCGTCTTCTTCCATTCGCTCACCGTACCAGCTTCAGTTCAGTTCCGGATGTTGCTGTCAAAGAAACAACCTTCTTCTGCAACGCAATGGGTAGAGAAAGTCAAATACCAAAAACACAGAGAACCCTACTTCAAGTTCTTGTTCAGTAATCCCCAGTTTCGATACGCCGTCTTTCTGTTGGTGTTTCTTTCATTGTGGTTTATGTTTCAAGTGTTTTGGTTCCCACCAACAAGAGCCACGCGCCACCTAACGGGGTCGTCGCCTGGGAAATGCGGTGGGGATGCTTCGGTTTACGTGTATGATTTGCCGGCGGAGTTTAACTTCGGGCTCCTCCGTGACTGCAGCCATTTGAATGTTTATACCGATATGTGTCCCCACGTGGCTAACAACGGTCTAGGGCAGCCGCTGGAAAATATGGTCGACCTTGGATCCGGTGAGTCCAGTCCCTGGTTCGCGACCCACCAGTTCATAGCGGAGATGATTTTCCACGCACGTATGGAGAACCACCCGTGTCGGACCTGGGATCCGGCGAAGGCCAATCTGTTTTACGTGCCTTTCTACGGCGGTCTGCATGTGTCCAGCAAGTTCCGGGAGCAGAACCACACCGTTCGCGACGCTTTAGCCGTGAGATTGGTGGATTATCTCCGGGAACAACCGGCGTGGCGGAAGAACAACGGCAGGGATCACTTCATCGCCTTAGGGAGAACCTCATGGGATTTCATGAGAGCCGACGATGGACCAGATTTCGGAGCAAACTCTCTTCTCAATTCGCCGTTTGTGAAAAACATGTCGGTGCTGACGGTGGAGAGGAATCCATGGAAAGGCTCAAAACAACACGGCATCCCCTACCCTTCATACTTCCACCCCTCCACGTCGGACCAAATGCTGACGTGGCAACGCATGGTTCGGCGGTCAAACCGGCCCTACTTGTTCTCCTTCATCGGAGCACCGCGTAAGGGAGTAGGTAAAGCCGCCATCAGAGACGAAATGATAAAGCAATGCATGGAGTCCACGCGGTGCAAGCTGCTAAAATGCGACAACGGGAACCCCAAGTGCTACAACCCTAGCGAGATTCTGAGAGTGATGAGAGAATCCCAGTTTTGCTTGCAAGCGCCGGGGGACTCTTTCACCCGACGGTCGACTTTCGACGCCATCCTCTCCGGTTGTATCCCGGTGTTCTTTTCGCGGCACACGGCGTACACGCAATACACTTGGTTTCTGCCCGGCGAGGCCACGGAGTACTCGGTTTATATGGAGGAGCAAGGCGATGAAAGCAAGAGAATCGAAGAGGTGCTGATGAAGATACCTAAGGAAGAAGCGGAGAGGATGAGAGCTACGGTGATCGATATGATTCCGAGGATCACATACGCACACCCAAATGCGAGTAACAGCGATCTTGGTTTTGAGGATGCGGTGGACGTTGCGCTTCAAGGCTTGGCACGTCATGTGAGGAACATAATACTATGAGATGTATAATATGACTTTGAGCCTTTTATTGATTAATTGAAGAAATTGATGTTAATGTAACATTTTTTTAGTATAAGAAAGGGGTAAAATGAACCTATATGAACATTAAACACAAATTACAGTGATGATATATATAATCCCGAGGAAGACAAAAAAGCTATGTGAATAGAGTTACAACATCTCTGCGATATCCTCTTACCATCAACAGCCTCTGCACATTATCTACCAACAAATCCATGTACTCCATGTAGCAGTAGGCCGGGCGGTTGAGAGGAGGTGGTGGTAAGCTTACGAGCACCACCGCGGCCATTCTCGAATATCTTAATATCGTCGAATTCAGCTTCAGCGTCGTATACAGAAACTTTTCCATTTGTTGCTCGTCCACGACTACATTCTTTCCATCAGCCATTAATAGTGTTCCTTCTAGCTTTGCCGTTTCCTTTATTTCTGCCAAATAACTAGATACGCGCTTCCGAGCAGCATTGAATGCCTCCAACGACTCGTCTTGCTGAGATCCACCCTCCGAATCCCATGACTTAATAGTTATAACGATCACTTCGGCTTGCATCCGAAGATCGTATAAGAACTTCTTCACATCAGCCTTGAGGACCTCTGCATCGGAATCCTCCTCCGCGATGCAGAAGACCTGAATCTTACAGCTCTCAAAGCTCTCTTTTGTAAGAAGAAGTTGTGACAGGAGAAGCATGAGGCCACCATCTCTCACGATCCAATACAGATCAATGGTACCATATTGCCTTTGATACTCATTAGGCCATTCATCGAGCCCCTTGACGATGACAACCGCCTTATTCGCAACAATACAGTCATTAATTATACCAACGAACCTGGCCGGAATTTCTTTCAGGTTTTCGCGACGCCATATTTCAGGGTACCGCACAACCACGATATTCGGCTTGAGGTTGCCAAGACCCATGGTCTGCACAATTCCACGGAAACCATCGGTCATATTGGGAGCTACGACTATTTCTGCAACACCTTCACAGCTCTTGTAGTTAATGTAGGTTTCAAGCTGCTTGCAGGCTTCCTTGGCATCTTCAGCACGTTCCTGATAATCTCCATCCAGTATATTTACAAACAAGGACATTCCACGGCCTTTCTTCTTCATGCAGTTGGCAAAATCGGCAAGTTTTGGATGGCAAGGTACGTTTTCTGGCAGCTTACCCCAAGGCCGGCAGAATATAAGAGGAATGGGATACCAGTTCTTTGGATGAACTTGGTTTGCTGCAATAATAATAGGTCAAATAGAGCAACACAAGAGGCATACTTATATGTATATACACAAAATACAAGCAGAACACGCATATACACAGATATTGCAATACCTCCGAGAGATCTAAGGCTGCGAAGGGCCAGTTGAAAATAAGCACTTTTGAATCCGTCGCCCCAGTCCCCAGCTTTTCCTTTAATGCTCACATAATAATATATGAGGCTGGCAAGGGCTAGAGAAACAATAGTGAATAACCACGAAATCAAGAACATTATAACTGCAATAAACAAAAACAAATAGAACAGCTGTGAAAATCGGCTTCCAATCAAGAAATGATGCGAAAATGCACTTTTTTTCCAGCTAAAATGTGAAAGGAAACATACCGACACAAAGTAATGCTCCAAGGAGAGACAGGAGCCAATGGTGAAATTTCCACCTAGGACGCCAACTGGGTGCATCTAGAAGATCCAGAAGGAAGCAAGACAAATTCACACCCGTATAACATAGAAGGAAAAACATAGTGACAGTTGGTGTGATAAGATCCAGATTCCCAATAATAACACATCCCATACATATAATGGCGGTAAAGAGTGTAGCCATGTTAGGCTCACTCCCATCTGCTACTCTGAAGTAGTTGAGAACAGGAAGAATATCATCATTGGCTATTGCTGCAAGAAGGCGAGGGGCACCGGTCAAGCTTTGAAGAGCTGCACCTAAAGTTGAAAGAATAATTCCAATACGAACGATAATCGGGAGAGGCCAAGCTATTGTAGCAGTAAGTACCCTGCATCAAAGTTGGTTTAGCATTAGAACAATATCGCTAAACCATAAATCCTTAATTAAAGAGTGCACGAGGAAAACATTACCGGCTGAATCCATGAAGAATGTTAACGAGAGACTAGAAAATTTCAATACCTGTCCGTCAAAAGCTTTTCTCTGGTGGCAACAGCTCCAAAAATGAAGACAGAAACTAGATACAGAACTGTAGTGACAATTGTGGCTGACAATGTCCCAAGGGGGATTGAACGCTGAGTATCTTTAAGCGAGGCTGATCTATTTGAACCTGCCATGATTCCAGTTACAGCTGGGAAAAAGAGACCGACCAATGCACTGAAGAAGCATATAAACAAAATGATTTAGAAACTACATGTAAGAAAATCATTGGTTTCACCAGTTTTAAGAAAATTATGTGGTTAACATATATCAAAACTTAATAGTAGGGAACAACTTTTTCCTGGTTTTTCTTGGATGGTTAGGGGGGTGTAGGGAGACATGAATTTTTTTTATTCTTTTGGACCAGCAGTATGGCCACTGGTTAAACTTAGGACCTGTTTTCATCTAGACTTCCATTATTATACAAGTTTCAATACAATAAGGTGAATGTGAACTTATCTGTGCTATATCATCTTCAGGATCAACAACAGGTTTGAACAAAATCAAGAGAAGATTTTTGTCTAAACTAGTCATCCAGGAATAGTATCGTGTACAACTTCATGGCACAAGTAAATTTCACTCCAGTAACAACAATCCTATGAACCTTAAATATTCTTACTTGAAGTCCCAGTGCACCTTTCCGTAAGGATCAGGGACACCATCACTGTTTGTATTCTGATACTGTGGATCCCAGTTATCTTTTAAGCTTTCAATATTCAAGCCCGTAATTCCATCTGTATCAAAAAAAGTAACATATTTCATACATCCATAATGACACGAAAAACATGAACACTAAACAAGGGAGGGAAATCAGATTGATTTTGAGCAATATATAACTATTATATTCATGCTTAAGGAATCAACTCCACAAGTAATTCTCTGAGGCAAAGTGTGTGTGTGTGTGTGTGTGTGTGAGAGAGAGAGAGAGAGAGAGAGAGAGAGAGAGAGAGAGAGAGAGAGGAGGACAAAAGGAATATGAAGAAGATACTCACTTTCAGGATCGTTATTCTTCGCCTTAAAAATCCCGATGAAAATGAAAAGTACTGAGATTAAAACAGGTACAAGGAAGACAGGGGCAACTCGATTGATCATTTTCACCCCACCAAACACAATAATGCATAGGATGATAGTCACAACAAGCCCATAAATTTGCAAGTCATATGTACTTATAGTCGTAATTGATTTTGATATGGTGCCATTCACCTTTGTGGTGGTTTCTGCAATGCAACCAGGAGGATATTAAAAATGAGTGAAAAAAGATTCTTTTTAGCATAACAGAAGACACAATGTATGGGGACAAGAGCCTCACAATCGTAAAAAGTAATAAATAAATTAGAAAAAATGGGGAAAAGGGTAATAAAGATAAAATAAAATGCTATTTGCACAGTCGACAGCAATTAATCATTACCAGTAAAAAACCCAGCAGAAGGGAGAGCTTTCAGAAAGGTTTCTACAGCTCCCAACACATAACTACAACCACAATCAAAAGAACATGTAACATAATGTTGTTAAAGACTTAATAAATTATACTATCAAGAATATAGGATTCATGCCGAGCACTCCCGTTATATTATGTCATTGAGTTATTTAGCAGATAATAGTGATAATAGTATTACGGAAAGGGAAGAAAGGACCAGAAGTTAAACTTACAGAGCTCCTGCAACTGCATTTCCTAGGAAGAAACATAATCCAATGCTAACTCCAACCTCAGGACCAAGCGCACGACCAATGAGATAATATGGACCACCGCCCTAGCAGTAATTAACGAGAAAACCACTAAATACCAGCTCATAGTTATATAATGAAAGAAATCTCCAAAATCGGGGTGGCAACACCCAAATTCAACTCAAAAGTAAATCATCCCCTTAAGACACCAAAATGACTGATATTGGAGTCACTTACATGTGAACTGAAAAATGATTGTGAAGGATACGTAATTATATAGTAATTTACCTTCATGGCACCATTAGTTGCAATAGCACTCAATGATAATCCTGTCAAGAAAGTACATAGACCACAAAGCGAAACCAACAGCAGTGAATCAGCAACGCCAGCCATGCCAATTATCCTGCATTTCTCATAAACGAACCTTAGAAACCCAAATTACAAAATCTACCTATTTTATTGTAAATGTTACTGTTCCATAAAGTAAACTACAATTAATTACTTTTTTCTTTACTGAAAGTCTAATCCAATCCTTATACCATATAATATTAAAGGACCCATATGTGTACGTGTACCTGTAGCACATTTACCAAATATAGTGCCACAAAGTCTTGTAAAGTTCAAATTATAAAAATGAGTTCAGTCTAAAATTCAAAACCCAGCACCAACAATTAAAAACAAAGCACACATTTCATTTACATTGTCTATGCACTTCTGCACTTGCTCATCAAGATAAAAGGAGGAGTTGCATAAGTTAAAAGAATTAACATCAGAGAAAAGGACTTACCAAGAAAAGCGTATATAGTATATAATCCCCAAAATACTTTGTAAGCATGGCACAAATACCCCAATCAGTGTTCCCATTTTTTCGGGCTGCATGATGTACGCACAGAACATGGAACAGCATGAGAAGGCTGTAAAGTACAGATTCTTATGTTTCGTTAAGAAATAATGATTTGACCGGTAACAATTAACATTTCCAAGAAAAAATGTTCATACTTGAACATGAATAAATTTATCAATGTTTGCCAATAGTTCAATCAAGTTTGACATAATTGACAGGCAGTACTAATTCAAGGAAATTCCAACTACCTTTTCTTCTACATTTTTACACTAATATCATGCTAACGTAAAAACATAGCTTACATTTGGACCCCCTTTGGAGATGGAAGCAACTCTGGTGCTAGAAGGTGACAA